TCTCTGAATTATGTTGTGTTCTTATTGTTCTTCTGAAGGTTGAATCTACTAATGAAGGAATAAAGAAACAACTATGTGCTAGGTTTCTTGTGTATTTAATATTGTCTTTCTTTTTTCTGATGACAGGGCATTTATGGTGGTACATACAATTGGTGACATTGTAACAGGAGATATTACAGAACCTGAAGTAGTTGCAAGTGCATCTCCCTCTGTAGGAGGGTTGTTGGATTCCCTGACTGGAAGCATAGGAATATCAGGTAGAGCAAAACCTGTTGCAACTCCAATTGCAGCATCCGCCACCTCAAGCACCTCTGTTAGTGGAACTCTAGCATCTGACGCTCCAAAAATTGGCTCAAGGTCCCTGGACAAAGATGCACTCCAGTCCTTTATCAGCAGTGCAATGCCCTTTGGTTGGTAATCTTTATTATGGTATTTCTCAACTCATAGTTTTAGTCAAGTTTGGGGTGTGGAATATGGGTTTTATTGTGGTTTAACTCTACAAATGACCTTGAGTTTCTTTTTTGCAGGTACACCAATGGACCTCAGTTATTCTAACATTTCTGCTATGAAGATGAATGGATTTTCTTCAGTCGATGTGCCTTCTGCAGATAGCAAGCAACCGGCATGGAAGCCTTATCTCTATAGGGGAAAGCAGAGGATACTCTTTACAATTCATGAGACTGTTCATGTTGCAATGTATGACCGAGACGAGATTCCTGACTCCATAACAGCATCTGGTCAAGTGAATTGTAGAGCAGAGTTAGAAGGATTACCTGATGTTTCCTTTCCCTTGACAGGTTTGGGTTCTGCTCATGTTGAGCTATTATCTTTCCATCCCTGTGCTCAAGTTCCAGAGCATGGTGGAGATAAGCATGCTGTAACATTTTCACCACCATTAGGAAACTTTCTGTTAATGCGTTATCAGGTATCTGATGGCATTAGACCTCCAGTAAAGGGGTTTTACCAGCTCTCAATGGTCTCTGAAAATGAAGGTGCCTTCTTGTTTAAGTTGCGCCTTATGGAGGGTTATAAAACGCCTTTATCATTGGAATTCTGTACAGTGACTATGCTTTTTCCTAGGAGAATGGTGGTTTCCTGTGACGGGACACCTTCTATAGGAACAGTCTTCAGTACGGAGCGCTCAGTTGAATGGAGAATTATAACCAGTGGACGAGGTGTTTCTGGAAAGAGCATTGAAGCAACATTTTCTGGAACTTTGAAGTTTGTTCCATGGCAGACTAAAAAACCACCATCCTCTGGGTCAGTGTTTGGGAGTATAGATGATGAAGATAGTGATTTTGAAACAGACTCGCCTAATAACATCGTAAATGTGGAGGATTTTCTTGCGGAGAAAATGAGCAAGGACCTTCAGGCAGTTGATCTGGAAGAACCATTCTGTTGGCAGGCATACAGTTATGCCAAAGTATGTTCTCTCTTGTTATTGCTATCTCTATCTGCAATCTCATTGCCGTAGACCTACCTTTGGTTGTGATTTTATATGTGATGAGTGGACTGCTTAAACATCTTAATTCTGAACAACTGTATCCTGTATGTTGTCTTCTCCCCAGTTCTGCATTTCCCTCTGCATTTTCTAAATCCCATAATGAAGATTTACCTTAAATCTTGATGGTTTCATTCCTAAACCAAAGATTGACTCCTCTCTGGTCTGCTAATTAGGCTTGTGGTTCCCTTAATGAGTAAGAACTTTTGATTTTACAACTAGTGGACCTTGTTGGTCGTTACTTCTTCTGATATTTTTGGATTCGTTTTCCGACGAATAGCTGTACATAGGTTCTACCCCATAATATAATCCTTAAGATTCTTATATTGAACAAATATACGTAATAGCAAAATTTGGTGTGGTACAGTACATTGTGTCAAATTGGATTCAGCTTGTGAAGTATCAATCAGTGACCTTTTTTCAACTATGAATGCTTCTTCTACTACTCTTTTCTACAGAAAGTAACCATAGCGCTAATAATTGGGTGCCCTTCCCAATTAAGTCCAATTTGGCATAAAAGTTAGTAAATAACAGATATTCATTCTTTATGTGGAACAATGATTTTCTCCGTAAAAATTGACTGCTATTTGGCTTAATTTACTGAAAGTTATGCATGTTAGTGGGCAAACCAAAATTTGCTGTTTGTGTTAGTTGGAAAGCTGCTCAAACAATTTGTCCTAAAAGTAAGTGTATACACACATTTCGAAAAGATTTGAGCACTTTTTCATGTGGCTGTAGGTGTCTTTCAAGATGGTCGGATCGACATTATCTGGCATGTCCATTGATCCAAAATCTGTAAGTCCATATCCGTTCTTAGCATGTCCACTCATCCTAAATCTGTAAGTCCATAGCCCTTCTTTTTTGTTCTTGTCTTGCCATGGAGAATCACTAAACCAGGTCTTTGCACAACTTGCTCATGCTTGTATTCTGAATCCTTATGCCTCTGCCATCCCCCTCTCTCTCCAGTTCTCAGGCTGTTTACTTTAACTATTGACAATCATCTCAAACTCACCTGAATTGCAGTTACAATGTCTGTGCTGCAGTTGATTGCTCAACTGCTCTTCCACATTGTAAAGGAGAAAGATCGCCTGTAATGTTGTGCAATTGGAGTCGCTCTTGACTGACTATGATCCACAAACAGTGTTTTGCTATAAATGCATAAGTGTCTTAAAGCAGCATCTTTTTCTAATAAAAACTTTTAATATCTATACCCCCAAGAATGACAAACTCAGTCTCACCTTTTTATGTCCATCATGTTAGCTTTACATGAGAAACAACTGGAGGATATAAATGAAATTTTTTTATGCTTTCTTCTTCAAAATGTGGATTTTACAGTACAAACCAGCTATGAAACATTTTATTGTTTAACAGGGCAAAATAAGTTTCTCGTAAAAATGTAAATCCAGCCACATGCAATCTCCCTTTAGACAAATTTTGGAATTCATCATTACGGCAACTTTATTTGCTTACACAATTTAAAATTGTAAGGCTGTATGCCTTTACTTGTTGATTGGTTCAATGTTTTTAAGATAGTTTCCTGCTGGCTTATAATGTTGCTTGCATTGTTTATTATTTATTTTATATGTTTTTTCCTAGAAGGGAAGGAGGGAAGAAAGAAGCGGGAAGGGATTAGTGAAATAAAATGATCAAAAGCTTAGTTTGTGATGAGTAGGAAACCCTCGACCACCTGGCTATTGCTGTTTCTTATCCTTAGTTCTTAACCGGAGAGAGCATGAGGGACTTTCTAGTGCTCCATAGTGAAGGCTTGGGCAATAGTGTACCAAGTCCTTATAGAGAATCTTAGCCAAATTATTGACATATCTATTTCTCCCAGTCTTGGTCCTTGAAAATTCAGAGATTGTATCCCATGAATGAAACTTATCTAAGTCTGTGTTGCTTCTGTTAATCTTCCCTCAGCGGAATGTTTGGATTTCAAATTGTGTGTTTTTCATTACAAGTGGCCGTGCAGTTGTGAATTCTCATTAGCTCTGAGCTTTAATATGATACTAACTTGTTGCTTATGCCACATACAGGTTAGTATTTTTCCTGCTGTTAAAGCACCTGTAGAGTTATCGGCACAGGTATCTTTACCTTCCAAGTATTTGTCTGAAAATTCTTATAACCTTACATTAGGCAACAAATATTTGCTTGTTCACTTGAACTAACTCTAAACTGCTACTGGGAAACTGTGCTAATATTTCCTAAAACTTTTTTCCCTCAGAAATTTGTTGCTGGCAGTGTCATATGTCTTGTATTGGATGTTTTTCTGTACCTGCCTGCCTGTATTTGAGCCATAGATCGTAGGAAAACCTATATGTATTTTACATTCAGAAACATAGGGATGTATAGTTGCAGTTTTTTGGTAGTTCTTGTACAGAAAGTAAAGCTTTTCTGGCAATTATTGTATGATGCTTCTGGCAATTATCATATGATGCAACAGGTTACATCAGGAGAGTATATTCTGTGGAATACATTAGGAAAATGTCCTGTTGCAGCCACACCTAAAGCCTAGAGGGTGAGAGGAAAATTATTGTCCAAATCCATCTGATGGCCCTGGAAGCTTGCTGCAGTTCAATTATTTTATTTTAGGATGTGAGATCTCGAGCTTCATTGAGCCAAGGGACCTTCGCATGTTTCTGTGCGTCAATATAACCATAATTTACCTCTTGGAGATAAATTTATGGACGCGTGTTGAAATCTCCTTGTGCTTGTGTCTGTGTGTTCGCCTCGTGTACATGTAAGCACCTCGCTCTTCTAACATGATTTTGTATTATTTGCTCTTATTTGTATTAATCAGCAAGGATTATCTTTTCTTCTACTTCCATGCTCACCTAGATACGCAATCTACTATTAGTTTGACCTAGTGTTATGTTTTATATTCTGGTTAAATATCTATGGCTTGTCTGATTACCACATAAATCTACTTTTAAATTAGTGTAGTCAAGGTCTTGCATGGTTTGAGTAAAATGAAACCGCTACCTTTCTTTCTTTCTTTCTTTCTTTCTTTCTTGTTGAGCTGGATAAATGTTACGGGATACTTGATCAGTTCAGTAAAATCGATGCTGGATTAAGTTCTTCTTTTGAAATTTTAGCCCGGAAAAGTAAAACGCAGAAATTGAAAATAATCTAGCAAGAAGAAATAGTATCCAACAAAACAGGTAGCTAAAGAGTAACTAGAAGCATCAAATTTAGAAATGAATGAATGATACTACAGTCTTGATTTCAAGAGTAGGCATTTTATTAACTGGAAAATGGATTGATTATCGAGTTTGTACTGAACTTTTAGTTCTCAGGAAAGATAGAATGGCTCTTTCTGGAAGGTTATTTTGTGAGATTGTTTTTAGAAAAATTTACTGTAGCTTCTTTATTAGTAACATGTGTCTGTGGGATGAAGAGGAAGTGAAGAAAAAAAGGGGAGATTTTGCACACTTATTGTGAGTTTTGGTGCACATTTTTTTAAAGTTTCTGGTATGTTGGCTTCATTTTTTTTTTTTTTTTTTGGGTAGAAAGCAAGTTGTACAAAAAATATATATAAATAGAAGTTGCAAAGAGACCGAGGCCGCCAAACGCTTTCATATCGTGGCCGTTTGCTTTTTGCAATTGGCCTCCAATAGCAGAAGCTTCAACAAAATAGTAGCGCTTTTACATCTGTTGCGCTACAATTCACAAACTAAACTATGGACGACATTCATGAGAAGAGTATAATAAAACAAAATTTTTACAACTTACCGTAAACTCATGAACAAACTTGCTAATGCCTACCTCTAGAGGCAAAGCCGACGGATTCTCTCTGACTCCGTATTTGTTGGCTCGGGGTCTGTGCATTCAGACGGAAGAAAATCTATGAATTATCACAGAAACTTAATAAATTTCTCCTACGTCAATCTTGTTCCACATTTTCCCACCTTACTACTGACGGTGCATGGCTTCCTTGGTTATTTATTTTCATCAATGGTGCATGTCATTCTTCTAATGCAATTCTAGATGAACGGTAGAGATCATATGGAGCCCATAGGTAGTCCACCGTGCATGGCTTCCTGGAGTCCAATCTTAACCACGGCTTCCCCTTACCGCTCCAATGCAACAGGCTAATTGGTCCAGGGTGAAGACTTCTACACTTGCCTTCAAAGTTATCACCACCTAAACCATGTTGGTTCCATCTGTGATCCACTGCCTCAATATTGCCTGCAAATACGAGCAAAATTGGAGGCAAAGACCCCAGATGATAAATTTTCCTTTGCTTCTGTATGACCATCCACTCTTCAACCTTCTGTGTGTATCCCCCTTTTCTCCACTTATCAACATCAACCACCATTACGCCTGTGTTGAAGTAGCAAGGTCTTCTTCCTTCAAAAGTTCTCGCCAGGTTGACATCGGACCAAAATGTGTCCGTAAAATATGTCGTGAAATTTGCATGGCAGTACTCTGGCGCAGCCAGGACGTGGTCTCCCAAGTCCACACCCCACAGCTTTGCAATGTCGTCGACGACGATTATGTCCGAGTCGACATAAATCACACGTTCCACATCCCTAGGGAGAATATCAGAAAGATAGATTCTTGCATAGTTCAGAGGCTGATCCAAGGCTTGTCTGATGGACTTGGAGATTTTTCCGCGAACAAGATTGGAATCGAAGTGGTAGACTCTGAAAGTGAGGTAAGGGAAGGTGGATTTGATCAATGAGGATATCCCAGGCTCGAGACGCAGGGAAAGAAAGTGGAAGGAAACGTTCTCAGGGCATGTCGAATGCTGTAAAATTGACAAAATGGCGGCAACCGTGCCGCGGATGTAGTTTATATCAAGGGGCATGACTATATGGATGTTATCTTTCTTGCTTGAGCTGCTGCATTCGTTGCCATTGCGAAAAGCCGGTGCCTCCCGAAAGGAGAGGATGGCGGATGCAGGCTTAGGAACGAGGTTGACGCGAATGCCATTGGTGAAAGAGGTGGTGGTTGTGAGGGGCTGCAAGAGGAGGAGAGACAGGAGGCCAGCGAGGGAGATACAAGAGGTGTTGCAGCTCCAATTGGCCATCCTCCCCGATAGGCCAAAATTAGGTGGCTATAAAGATTTTCTAGAGTTTTGGGTTTGACGAGGGAGGACGAAGAAATATACCATTGGAAAGTTCGGGTTCAAATTCGAGAGAGAGAGAGAGAGTTTAGGGAAGTCCAACGGTCGAGGGAGGACAATGAGCTGGGGAGAGCTTGGGAGGCGAGGAAAAAAAATCGGGAAAGTGTGTTTGACTCGTCGATGTTATGTTCCTACCGGGTCCGGGAGTCGAGTCGTCTTATCTATCTCCAAATGCCATTAATTTCATATCTTTTTCTTTTTGTTGGCAAAGTAAAGAGAATTCTCCGAAGACCGTTCCTCAATTTGCTTTAAATATCAGCCAAATTTATTACCACTACTCCATCTGTCTTTGCATATCTGCCCTTTTAATTATTGGCAGCTTAATTGCAGTTTTTTTTTTTAGTTTTACAATTTACCTAAAACGTTCATGCCCTAGATTGTTGGGGCACCGTACATGATGACGGTTCTGATACATGTCGCAGAACATATGAGACAGTAGTTAGTATGTATTTTCTGAGTTCAAGTAAAAAAGCCCATTATAGTAATTTACATGACTTTTTGTGTTATTTTTAAACTTGTATCTACATCTAGAGCTGTTAAGTCAATCGAGTAACTTGAAAACTCGTTAGAGCTCGGCTCGTTAATTTTGGTTAACGAGTCAAGCTCGAGCTCAAAACATGCTTGTTTAGTTAACGAGTCGAGCTACGAGCCAGCTCGGCTCGTTTAATACCCGAGTAACTCATTAGAACTCATTAATGAAGGGCATATTTGTCATTTTAGAAATCAAAATTATAAAAATTAAAATTTATAGGTTTTTATTAAGGTTAATTTGTACGAGTTCGAGCTCTTGAAGCTCGACTCGTTTGTGATAAACGAGTCGAGTTCGAGTTCAAACTCGAGCCACATGTACATTTAACGAGCCGAGTTCAAACACATTTTAAAGCTCGTTTTCCTAACGAGCTCGGCTCGAATTAAACTCGAGTCGAGCTCAGCAGCCAAATACTCGGCTCGATTAACAGCTCTATCTACATCTCCTTGGCCAGGCGGCCTCGAATTCGTTTTTCCAACAGAGACATAAAATATTCAAGTCGGGTATCTGAGAAACACATCCTGCATTTCATTTCATTAGCATTTGCACGTTCTCATGCGGCACGAAATCTGACAGCTGAGAAAGAAAAGATGCAAATTGCACGCCAAAATTCTTCTCAAATGCATGCTAGCTATTAGCTATTGCTGTTGTTAGCAGCTTAGTTCACCCTTTTTTGAGGTACGTAGGACCCCGAAATTCTGCTCTGCTCTTCATGCCTGTAAGGAAAGAAATCGATGGCAATGGCCAATAACACTAGTAGTGATTTCTGTCTTTTCATAGACCAATACTAGAATCAATAAAAAAAAAAAAAAAAAAAAAACCCACTCGAGTTTAGCAAAGAATTAGAGAGACACTACTACTATTGACTGAAAAAGACAAGAAAGCAGAGATCCAACGTACAAAAGGCAAAAATCAGAACTCGAAGAAGAAAGAGATGGTAGCAAAGTTCTTTCTTTCACATAAGAAGCTCAAAAACATGAGCGCTTTTCATCATCCCCACTACAAAAAAAATTGCAACCTCAAAATTTCTAGGCGTGACAAACATATAGTGGGGTGCAATATCATGATGAACCCACACCATCCCTTCTCCTTCCGCATCAGCCTCTCCTCTCTCTCTCTCTCTCTCTCTCATGGACATGGCCTCATCTCCAAATTTTTTCCCCCACTACAATCTTTCTACATAAGTCAACCCCACATTGATTATCATAATTTACCATCCAATCCAATGACATTACCATGAATCACCCACTCCCCTAATTTAAAACAAAAAAAGAAAAACAAATGAAAGAAAAAATTGTTACTAACTCTAAGAAAAGCCCCCCCCCCCCTACTTTCCCTCCCTTTACTCTTTTGAACCTCTCCACATATCTACTAGTTGTTGGACCACCCTCCTACCACCACCCTTTATCGCCACCACTTACAAGCTATTTCCGACGAGGTGTGAAAGTTTGAAACACGACGGTGCCTGCTGCTGGGAACTCGTCCACCGTGCAACTCCTGCATTTCATCCCCACTGGCTCGACTGCACTGGCAACCTTTGTCCATGCTTCATGACCAGTGCTGGTCGTCGCCACCGACATTGTTCCCGGCCGGAAAACTTGCACCACCTTCTTTAACACCTCCACAATAGCATTATGATCATCATAAATGGAACCAACAAACTCAAAACTTGCATAACTGAAACCATCCTCCGGGGTTACGTGGATGGTAGAGTAACGGTCATTATCAATTCCATTCATGGAATAGCCACACGGATCAAATGCAAAGTCGCAAATAAGTGCATTAGGATTAATATCAACAATCCCTGTTATCTCCGTCATCTCCTTTCCGGCTGTGTCGCCGTTTTTTCCGTCGTTTGGATGCCGGTAAAACTTACGAGCGAGAACACGATCCAGCTCCGTCATGCAAACTTCAATAGTGAAAAAATCTTGATGGTCGCTCTCAAAGTTTTGCATCAACATGTGAGACTCATCACATGCAGAAAAAACATGCCATGAATGAGAAGACATCTTTGAAGGCATAACTGAGGCCTTCCTGTAACAGAGATGGCTAGGCAAACTCTCTTCCAAGTAGATAACTTCTTCCTTGAAGCTTGAATGAGGGTAAGGCTGAGCTTTGGGGAAAATGAAGCTACCTCTGGTGTACCTACACACACTCAAGGTGAGGCCAATATCGCAAGCCAAGTGCAGCAATGGACAGATGGATTTTAACAGCTGAGTAGTCCCACAAGTCTTGATGATGATCTTTGTAGGGTAAACGAAGAGACTCGATTCTGATAATACGTAGGCATCAAAATACTGGTTCCCCACAGCTGATACCACTGTGCATTGCACTGCATGCAACACCTCCTCTATTGACTCAAAATCCAGCTGCCGGAGACTGATTCCGTTCACCGGATCATCGCCAGAGAAATGAAGCTCTAGTCTCTTCTCAAACCCTTCAAATCCAGACATAGCCATTTTTATCTTACTAAACAAGATATATGAAAAGGGTTCGTTAATTAGTAAGAAATATTGAACTAGAACGGGAGTAGTGCAAGTAGAAAATTAGCAAATGAGTTGGTCTTGTCGACTACAGTTGCAGAGAGAGTAGTGGAGTGACAAAACGGATACAGGGCCATGAGTATATATAGAGAAAGAAGAGAGAGTTGATATGGGGAAATGGAGCAGATTGGAGAGACCATGCAATATTTGCAACGCATAAAAGGGCTACTGAAGAGAGAGTGTGGGAGAATAAGAGTAAGAGGGGCATGCGGGTGAGGCAACCAAGAATAATGATTGTCAGCATAATGAATACAAGATGATGGTCATTTTTGTGTGTTGTGAGATCGTTCTCCAGACAGCTACATGAATTAGAATTCATTCCCACGCGCAATTTTCTTGTTCTACATCCTCAGATATGTATTATGTATTTGATTCTAGCTTATTCATCTTAGCTACGACCCAAAAAAAAAAATAATAATTAGTCCTTTTTTCAACTGAACTTTTAACTAAACAGAGCAATTAGTTGTTACTAATAAGATTTCATTTGTAAATTAATGTTTATGCTTTTGTTAGTAGTACTTTATTTTGCCTTCTTGTAGCATGCATATAGCACTTGTGATGGATTTTTGTCGTGTAACACAAGTATATGATTGAAGGGTTTGAATTGAATTTATTTGAGTAGTACTATAACAGTATAACTACCATAGTCTTTCTATTTTGACATCATGATTTCTTTGCATTTTAAAAGGTGGCATCACTTGTCGTATCAATATCTGCCCACTCTGGAGAAGAAAATGCATGCCACGAGATTCCTCTTCCTCTGGAGCAAGGAAACCAGGATCCTATACATTTCTTCTACTTAGTCATGATTTGGAACTTGAACATCATATTGTATCCAGTTCGTATATATCTTTTACAATTAGAACTTTAATATGGGGAAAATTTAAGAAAAGGGCCATCAAATTACTAGATGAGTAGATAAATACATATAGTAATCTTGATCTGCAGCACCTAGTGATAGATTCACATGCATTTTGATGATACGGTAGCTTAAAAAACACAGACATAATTATAAAGTAGACGTTTCGATGCGTGACAACAATAATTAAGTTCCTAGGCAGAGGCAAGCTTAATTTCCTTATATAGATGTTCTCAAGTGGATGCACAAAGCCAAAACACAACAAATAAAACTCAGTATATATTATATCACACACCAACTGGATGATCAATGGACTAATCAGGTGAGGAAGGAGTGATATGAGCACCATTGAATTGAGAATTCTCCTAGGCTGTGATGGAGGTGATGGTGATGGGATTGGGAGGGACAATACTGTTGCATAATCATACCCATGGCCACTGCTCAAATTAGTGTGCAAATTGAAGTGAAAACAATTGGTCGAAAAGGATAGCATTGTCTTTCCGGAAGTGGGCAGGTGTGTATTTAAAGAAGGTAAGAGACGTGCCCAGAAATCATCAATTGTTTTTCAAGGACGTAAGAAACAGTAGCAATCAGGCGTGGCAACTAAATAATTACAAGAATATCCATGAATTAGGTGTTGGGGCATTTCTTTTGTTCAAAAAAGGACCCATTTTTTTTTTTTTTTTAGGTGGGGTGGGGTGGGGGGGTTTGCAATGTAGTTTAAGGTTGAAGGTCAAATGATTGACGACATTCACATAGTACTACTATATCCTTTTTCAAGATCCATCCATTTATGCATTACTATCACTTTTCTAGTACAACACAATGGATATGCACTGTTAAACTATTCGAGGTTTCTGTCGAGTGGAGGGATTTCAAAGCCAGCAATTAAGGATTAGCATTCCTTTCAGTTCATTTATTATCTTGAGAGAGTGATTTTTGGACATGTAAAATATTAAAATCAATGTCGGACAAGAGTTGGACACTCTTTATCGATCATTTCCCAAATGCTTAGACATATTGGCATAAACTCTATACACCTAGCTATACTTGTAATAATTTATATTTTAGATAGATACACCTAAAATATAAAGTCATACACAGATAGATAGGGGGTAGCATGCATTGGGCTTAATCAGTATGGAAATCAAGATGAGCTGGCATTAAAGCAGCCCTGATGCATGAGTGATTACTTCTGTTTGGTGGCATACGAGTATTATCCCTACGGGAAATGATTAACCTATAGACATTCCAATTGAAGGAAGATTATAAATTGCTTCCCTTTAGGGAGGAAATGGACTCCCTACTCATCACAAAACAAAATCTCCCCTTAGCTTTTAAGTTACTTTTGCAGTTCACCTTACAAAGCTTACCATATCTAATCATCATACAGCATACTACTAGACATGCATGTAGCATGTAAATACTAGTTGGTGGTAGAATCAGTAAGAAGTAAAAAGAGAAAGTAGTAGCAAATTAAGAGGATAGACATTGGAAGGGGAGCTAATTAAAGAAGCATGCATGTATGGAATATGGGTAGGAGAGTTGGAAAGGTTGGGGTGTGGACAATGATGCCAAATTGTGAGTTTAGAATCAAAATTTGCAGTTCTTAGAGCAGGATCAATGATTCAGAATGTATGCGTCATGAACAATTTTATGGTGGCTGGCACACTCACATTATGACATATCCGACCTCTTGTGCTGCACGCGCACCACCAAACCCCATATTTCTTGACACTAATATTCAGCATATATGCCAAAATTTCTTGAGATATCAGCATATCTATAACTTTGATCAGTTATATTGAGTTATATATGACTTTGACATGGACATCATACCACCAAGATCTCCCAATCTCCCTCCATCTCTTCATGATGCATGCATGCCAGTCCAAAATGGTCAACTGCTATTCAACCATAAGGACCAAAGCAGAGATTAGAGGACGAATTTAATTAGCTAGGTTACAGTTCGGTATTAGCATATATAATGAAATATGAATGTTGTTTTAGCTGTAGTATCCTCTATTTATGGCTAAATTACACTGCAATAAGAGTATATATAATACGCATTAGAAAAGATAAGAGTGCTAACTATTTGAATACACACGTCTATGTAAAGAATCATACATTGAACCGCTCCAAAATCTTTACTCGAAAGTCCAAAACCAAACTCCACAAAATCCCTACTTTTCTTACATGAAAAGCTGTACAAAATCTTACCCAAATATCGAAAGAGTCGGCTTGAATTTGGGTGAGTAGAGGGCATATATTGGAAAAAGTTACACAAAAGAAGATTTACAGATGTTTATGGAAGCCTAATCTTAATCTTGTGGTGGACCCAATAAGTCACCTTTTAATCTCAATCTCCCTCGAGCAAATCATACTGCCCAAACTTACGATTTTGGACCCACTAAGAGGGGCTTAATATGCCCGACAACCACCATCAAAGGTCCCACAAAACTACACATAATCTAACTTGTGTCCTTCCTCCAAGACACACTAGGGCCATGGTTAATCTAAACTTAGATAAAAGTCATGGACATCGAGTCCCCACTACACTAGGGACATTGTATAAATGGCCAAGGCAATTGATCAACAAGGGTTTAGAGGGCTACAAGTGACTTTAGCCGCCATACATGCTTGCATGCGTACAATTGCACACATGTGGAATATATTAAGTGAGAAAACATAATAGTAGTAGTAATTTCTATCCTTGTAAATTTGAGCACTCAGATGTGCGCAAGTGAGTGCAACTGTACCATGCGCACAAAAATTGTGCTCTCTGTGGCTGCCCACCACTCTTTGAACTCTAAGAGTTGCCAATTGATAAGGGCTGGCTTCTCCTTGGGAAGAAATTGTCTAAGCCCTCACCGTACTCCTTCAGTTCTTGAACTTTTTTGCAAGCTTTTGTGTCGAAATCAAAGCCCCTAGTTACTTTGTTAACCTCCCACTTGCGAGTTGCGAAAGCTAGCCATGAAAGAAAATGACAGGAAAAAGGGCACAAGTCAACTTTGGATGGAGTTGAATACTGTTGCTATGGAACAAACAATGGATTTTTGAGCAAAAAGAATTTGGGACCTCCCTCTCTGCTGTTTATAGAGTTAGGTGCTCCTACCATCATACTAATTAAACCGAATATTTTAGCAAAGGGTTTGTGTTTTCTTCGCCCTTTTTTTTTGTTTCTCGCCATCTTGAATATATGAAAGTACCTTAAAAATTTTAAAACTGCACGCACGGCAAAATGAAAATGTCCTTAACTAGTAACTTGATATTCCACAATCTTTGGCTATTGTAATTGAGGATGAGAGCAATGCAAGAATTTTTCATATATTGCATGAGTAATCCTTACTAAAAGTAGTAAAATGGAACGCTAGTCACTCCCCATCCTACACAATCTCGCACTCTAATTCACAAAAGAGATAAAAGCGATACCCCACCATGCATGTATGATTGCTCGTAGTCGCAGGTGCAATGCAAAGCTTCTCCATGAAAAAGATTTGAAAGCAAACAAGACATGTTAGAAGTTTCAAGTGCTTTTACACATATCCTTCATCACACTGCTTCTTTGCTTGCTGCCCCCACACAGACAAAACACATCATCCATATGTATATTTTGTCCATGAGAATATTATGTGCATACGACATTGAAAAAGAGAGAAAGCCAGAGAGATACAGTGAATAATTGTATCACTCCTTGCTACTCGCCTCGAGCCCTGCCCTGTGACCGATTGCCAGAGCAAATCTCTCGATCTGAATGAAAACCTTACACGCCACATCATGTTCTCTCATGCCCTCTTATCATTTTCTTTTTCTTTCTTTCTTTCTTTCTTTCTTTTTTTTTTTTGTTTTTTCATCTCATAAAGCTCTTGATCAGTCTTCTATAGCCTGAATCTCTCTTGATTGCTCCACGCAAGCATCACTCATGGCTTCTGACTTGTGACTCTGACATCATCCTCAAACTTTAGATTAATCCCACTAATTATATCCGAAATATTTGCTAGTTATGTCTAATCTAATAGTGTAACAAAATTTCAAGTTTCATTCAAGCCATCTTTTAAGGTAAATGCACTGCATAATTAGCCGTGTAAAATTTCACTTTCATCTCTAGAAATTAAACATGGGATTAATGCATTTGTCGATCACCTTACTAAATGAATAAAATTTCGGGAGAAGGGGTAACGAAAAAAAAGGGCCTTTCAGAATCAGCCCTTTTAAATAAAAGGGTCTATCTAACCAATGTCCAATTGGTACTTGTTAAAATATAGTTCGGGCATCAATTTTTTTTTAATAAATAAAGTAAGTTAGAGAAAGTGTATACATATTAAGGGGGGTAATAATTGTTATCGTGTATATTCACAGAGTATTGTGAGGTTAGGTATAATTTAGGCGTATTAATAAATGTCTATAAGGCACCGATTCGCTAAAAACTCTAAATAAAAATTGAGATAAATATATGACTTAGTCGATTACCTGTCCTAGTGACTTAGTACATCTTGGCGTTATTAATAAGGGTGGGCGCGGGTCGGGTACTCGTCCCATTCACCATTTGGCTGACCCGACCTCGTATCTTGTGGGTCAGCCATTTTTTGACCCTTACCCGCTCCGCATATCAGCAGGTACCCTATAATCGGGTACCCGCTGAGATAGGGTCGGGTCAACGGGTACTCGCCCCCCGCCCTATTTATCATTTAATTTTTTAAAAATAATAATTTATACCAATTTAATTTTATATTTTACACATTCATCTAAGATTTAATAAATTTTTTTCCTAAAAAAGGTTTTCCACCAAGAAACAAACATGTGAAGAGAATATAAGATAAAGAAAAAAAATTAAAAGAATTCAAAATCAATAAAAGTTTGAAATAAGTAGCCCAAATTTTAATATATATGTTCCGCATTAATTAAACTTTTTTTTATAAAATATAAGATCATGACCTCTACAAATGAATCTTGTAAATAAACTATAGTATCTCATATTTGTAATGCAATTTGTTCAATAAAATTACTTATTTAGTTCCAACTTATTATTTTATAGTATGTGTATAAAAATAAAATATATATATATGTGTGGGGCGGATGGGGTACCCGCGGGTTTTTAATTATGTGACCTTAACCCGTCCCGTATCTTAGCGGATACCCGATCCTCTTTGACCCGATCAAATAATAAAAATCAGATATCCTAATTTTCGGATCGGATCGGATTGGATATGACGGGTTTTCGGGTTAGTGGATAATTTTGCCCATCCCTAGTTGTTAATGACAGAAATTGAATAATCATATATGTATCTCGATTCGTTTCCTTTATAACGGCAGAGTTGAACACGTAGTTGCTCTCCATGTAACTTGATTAATTAACAACTAGGGGAAAGCCCGCGGTAAGCGCGGGAGTTTTAACTTATGTGACAAAATATTTATTTAAATGAATTTATAAAAAAAAAGATAGTAGAATTAGAACTGCATGGCAATTGATTTATTGAATCAGTTGAAGTGCATGAAATTATAAGTCAATTGACCAAATCAACAGACTTTTCAACAGACTTATAAAGGAAAACAAATTTATAAGTAAAAGAAATAGTATTGTAGTAGATAATCACACCATACCACGACAACAATAGCAAAAATATCATTACCTTTGTTACTATACCATTATAACACAATCATTACCATATCCAATCAACAATTAACATGTATCAACTATAAGGTCAAATTTAGATTCTATCTTAGTCATGAAATTGCAGTCAATAGACAATCTTTAATCGTAGTTTAACAACCTGTAGTCATGAATATCAGATTTTGGAAATATAGTTAGAAAATATAAGAAGGTTCCTATGAATATTTATATGTATGTATCATGTATTCCATAACAAAGTTTTCATATTCATACAAGAGCTATTGAAAAAATATTGCAGTAGAAAACTCACAGTTTTTATTGTATCAATTAAACATCCAAAACTCTAGAAAAAGAAAAAGTAAATGAGCATACTTGTCCAAATACCCATAACAAAAGATTGAGCACAAGCACTTAAAAGAACATTGTTCAATATTGAAAGCCTCCATTATTGTCAAGTTGAAGAGCACTACAATTATACTTGTAACGGATTGGAAATATGAACCAAAACAAATCATGTTCATTATTAAGTTCCCGAACCAATCATCTTTAACATTAATACCCTCTATTATTTTAGCTAAAAAAGCTACCCAACAATTATAATAGAAGATGAAGAACATTGCAATTACATTTGTAAATGGTTTAAACACCACTTAAAAGTTTGATAATCACGTGGAATATAAGTCAATTGCAAATGAGTGGACACAATAGTCAAACCCAACTCAACTATACATTATAATGTTGCACATTCAGCTTAATCACTTGCATTTGATTTTTTTTTCTCTACCTAAATTATCCCCGAAGATGATAGATGAAAAAATTTTCAACAGTCACCTACAAATTCCTTTATATATATATATATATATATATATATATATATATATATATATATACCTATAAAGGATATATATAAGGGTGCTTAAGATTCAATGAAAACAGAAACAAATGGGAAAAGAAAATAGAAAATTGGAAAAGTATCAGAGAGTAAGTAACAATAAAAATGGTAAAGAATTATTGTTTGGTATTCAGTAAGCTGTTACTGGTACACAAGGAAAAGGGTTTTGGAGAATCAAGTCTATGCACTATGATATGGTATGAAAATCAGTTAATAACTTAATAAATCCCCTGCCTTTTTAGAAAATCTTTGCCCTTTTTTTAGAGGCATGCATGAGATCTGATCCATTTTATATTAGGATTCTTTTCTTGGTGAAGTGGAACCACCAAAACTTCTATGCAACAATAATGCTGACATAACCATGCTGTCATTCCAGCAATACTAAGCTGCCAATTGAACTTAATTACTTAGGTCTAACAGGCAAAGATAGTGAAAGATGGATACATATAATACAAATTTTTTAAAGAGGTTTAAAACTGAACCAGAAGGGATGATTGATTGCAAATAGGGGAGCTCCAAGAGATTCATTGAGGCTCTTTTTGAAGATTTGATAATGTCAGGAGAGCAAGCATGGATATGTAAGCATGGAGGCCATCATGTTCCCTCTATCCCAAACTCTCTGTCTTCTCTAAGCATCCCTTAATTTATATACCCACTTTCTACTTCTACCCCCACCCCAGCTCAGATGTAACCATTCCACCGCCCCACCCCCCCCCCCCCCCCCCCAAAACAAACAAAAAACACAAACTGATTTATTAGTTGAGCTAGAATCCAAATGAAACCCATATCTCTTGCCATTGTAATGTAAAATTGAAGACCCTCTTGCTCAAAAAAAAATTTTTTTTTGAAGACCCTCTTAATCTCTCATCAGTGGACACAAGATTTGTATATTTTACAAGATATACTCTAAAAGCAAGCAAATATGTTAGGCAGAAAACCAGTACCATTGTACTAATAAATATTAATATCGTCATTTATAGTATCATATATATATATATATATAGAGAGAGAGAGAGAGAGAGAGAACCATAAATTATGTGAGGATATATTGGCACAAGGGATAAGATAGGCAGATATATTAATTATATTATGAATACAATAAGATATGGTATTAATATATGTTAGACATTTGGAAGGGACCAAAAGAGAGCAAGTAGCAAAGCCGACATCTTGACCGATGTGATCACGTGCCATCCCACAAATTCAGGTTAGAATATTCTGTGGTTACACAGAGGGGCTACTATCCTGAAACCCCTGATAAAGAAAATCAAGACAGCTACTGTATAAAAACCCATATTCAGGGTAATCCAAATGTGCATTTCTTTGGGGTATTTGATGGGCATGGGCAGTTTGGTACACAATGTTCAAAGTTTGTCAAAGATAGGCTTGTTGAGATTTTATCAAATGACCCTACATTGTTGGATGATCCTGTTAAGGCTTATAATTCTGCATTTTTGGCTACAAATGAAGAACTACATATTAGTGATATTGATGATTCCATGAGTGGTACAACAGCTATCACTGTGCTTGTTGTTGGGGACATGCTATATGTGGCCAATGTGGGTGATTCAAGGGCGGTGTTGGCCGTTAAGGAAGAGAATAAGCTTGTTGCTGAAGACTTGTCTTATGACCAGACACCATTTAGGAAAGATGAATGTGAGAGAGTTAAACTTTGTGGTGCCCGTGTTTTAAGTGTTGATCAAGTGGAAGGGCTTAAAGATCCTGGAATTCAGACATGGGGAGATGAAGAGACTGAAGGTGGTGATCCACCAAGGTTGTGGGTTCAGAACGGAATGTATCCTGGGACGGCATTTACACGGAGTGTGGGGGATAGCACAGCAGAGAAGATTGGTGTAGTTGCTGTTCCTGAGGTATCAGCAGTTCACCTTACCTCTAGTCATCCATTCTTTGTCGTTGCCAGTGATGGTGTTTTTGAGTTCCTCTCCAGCCAAACTGTAGTGGATATGGTACGTAATAAGCTTGATAACATTGAGTTCCTCTTTGTCGTTCCCTGTTCCAAGGCCTTTCATGGTCCTCATAATCTGACAGTCAATTAGTTTTTTACCCCCTTTTTTATAACATGGAAGTTTCACATGTTCATAGGTAGTCGCTTTTTGGGTCATTGCCAGCATTTGATGTTATTTATCTAAAAATGCTAGCCCACATTAAAAATTCTGGAAAGGTCAAAGTAGCAATGAGTAGCCCCCCTTGTTTTACTTCCTCCTAGTATTCTGTCTCTGTTTTTAACTTTTCTTTCTTTGTTGTCTCGGTCAAAAGTTGTTAAATGTTCTTGTAAGCTAGATCCTGTACAGCATGTAATTAAATATTGATATAATCTTGATCAAACTTTGCAGGAATTGAAATCCTGGTTTAGCTGAATTATGAAGCTTCTGTTTACGAATGAAAGAAGATAATGTTACCTAGAGCGCATTGATAAATTAGTACCATAGATCATAAACGTTAGGTAAACAAATTAGTATTAATAACTAAGTTGGCATATCCTAGATATTTGGAATTAATTATCAATATCTTGTGAAGTTTCCTACCTGAGAAAATCTTTTTACCAAGTTCAGATGACAACTAGAACAGCAGCAGTTCCATTTTTTTCTTTTCCATGACATGAAATTAAATTGTGAATCTCTGCTAAGGCTCCTACTAAAGGAAATATGCCTATTTGATTGTGTCAGCATATTGCGGCTCCTTCATCCATAGCTTTCTCTGTGAGGTGGTGAGCAGAAGGTTAAAAAATAAAGGAAAAAAAAAAGAGAAGGTTGAGAAGCAAATTTCTCACCGGAATTGTAGTTAGACATAGCAGCTATGAAGGAATTTGAGAAAGATGGTATGAATGCATTTGATGCAAAAGGTTTGCTCATCCAAATTAGTAAATAGTGCAAACACCAAATCTATGGCGTGAGACAAGATTATACTTTGTTCCCTATAGAGTCTCATGCTTTATTGAAGTCTTATACTATTTCGATGCTTGCTTACATTTACGGTAATTGCATTTCCTTGTTTTAATTAATTATTACATGTAATGGAGGTATAATCACTCAGTAGGTTTTTTTTTGTGATTTTGTGCTATGCTTTACAGTTGGCACACAATTTGGCTAGCTTATGTTTGGCAAGGTGATTGTTGATCTCATGCAATGCATTCTCTTTGCCTTGGAGAATACTCTTCCATATCATTAAACTAGTTGATCATGCGCTTCTGTACTACAATTGTTCTGACTATTCTCTTTTTTAACTTTCTTTCTCTAGGTGACTAGATATACCGATCCCCAGGATGCATGTTCTGCTATTATTGGAGAAGCCTATAAACTATGGTTAGAGCATGAGAATCGGACAGATGATATAACAATCATCATTGTACACATTAGAGATTTATCTAATGTATGAATTACATGAGTTCTTTGACTTTTTTATTTTCTCTCTTTTATTCTTGTACTAATGTGTAGTACTAGTTGGTATGATCATGTGATGCGAGGAAATTAGCATTTGAAAATGGGTCTCACTTCAAATTTGGTGATAATATTTTTGTTCAGATTTCCTTTTTCTTTTCCCACAATGATTTGAGAGTGCAATCTGTTGCTTTTCTTTAACTCCTGATGATTTCATGAAGAAGGATTTGTAGTTATCCTTGCCTCCCAAGCACACAAAAACATCCCTGGAGAAGGGTAAAGAAGTGGCCTAGGCCAGTAAGAGAAAAGATCATGATTCCAGTGCCGAAATTATTTGCATTATCTTTCTGATATTTTCCTGCATCTTCCATGTGCACTTCTGCAGTCCAACACATTTCTTTTGTATGATCTGGTCTTAATATCAAATACTTATTCTTGGGCTGCTTCTACAGTTTTTGAGTATAATGAGAAAAAGAAGCTTGTTTATTTGGCTAATTACATTCTTCAAACTGCATTAGTTTGTTGTTAGTGCCAATAGTGATAGCAACGAAGGGAAAACAAGGTCTGATGCACTGAGGACGGAGAATGGAACTTCTGATGTGTTTTTCACGCCTTCTGGATCTGAAGTCTGCCATTCAGTAAGAAGTGATTTTTCTGAACGTTATAGCTATCAGAATACAATGCCAAAGGATCAAAGCCTTGCAAATGTTGCTTCTCCAGCAATGTTGGCTTAGCTATCTGCATCGTGAGTGCTGCTGCTTGTTTCTCTATCCTGTTTCTATCCTTAACCGAACAACACTCAAATTCTTCTTTTCTAGGGACTGAAGAAAGAAAAGACCAGGGGGTTCATTAGGGTTCCTTTTCTCACTTCGATGAATTGGTAATTTCTGTTTTTTTTTTTTTTTCTTCCAAATGATTTGTATTTTTTTTTTAAATCTTTTTGGCTACAGTTCAAGGCAGTAATCCATGAAATTTTGATGAGGCACAGCTATCCCCTCGTGGAAGACACAGCACGGCCTTTTATGTATGCTTGTATTTGTTGCATTCCAGAATGCATCACTTTCTTTGTAGTGCTTATTACAAGCCTATGATGGAAGGGAGAGAAAGAGAGAGAGAAGTGTTTGTGGGTGTGTTATCGTGCATGCATGCGTGGGTGATTTATGCTGAATGATTGTCTTGCGTGCATATTTCATCTCAGAGATTGAACCTTTTGTCGCAGGTAATCGATCTGGTGGTTATACATCCGCAGCAGACCACAAATTCAAGTTTATCTTCAAATCTAGTTGTTGAAGAGTTGCATTCGTTTCCGTGATTATGTCCCAATAGCATGTGCTCCCTGGTTGAAATGAGCTGCCATTTTGCCTTCTCCAACAAACATATTAGAAGAGCAAGGCTAACAAGGCTTCAATAGCTTTAGGGAGAGGCCGGTGGTCTGTTTTGATACAGAATATGTATGATGCAGCAGATGAATATATCATCAGTTCTGCGGTGAAAAGACACATCATGCTAGTATCAGCTGCTAACGTTGCTTAGACATTGATATTTAGTTTTCTGATCAGAATATTAGTCCATCCTTGCTTCCAGAAGCAAGAAAGTACTTCAAAGTTGGCTGTTACTTGACCTTAAAAGTGCCTTAATCTCTTGCGATAATCCTTAGTTAAAGAGGGAGAAAAAAAGAAACATGATTGTTACTTCCTTGTTTATGAAGCTCAGACATGACGAGTGAGTTTGAGCTTTTAGTTCACTTGTACGAACACATGGGCCAACGTATAAAAGATCCCTGCAACTGGAAATTAAGGAGCCGGTGCCATCTGAATCGCCAAAGCTGCTGGAACTCAATTCTGGTCAGCATCAAGCTGCTACAACCTCCCATTAACAAGCCTCAAGCCTTCAGATGGACGAACTTGAAAAGAGCCCAGATATATATAACTGTAAGCTAAAAGAATCTTGCAATGCTCGTCAGATTCTCATTGCAATGCATCACCGCAATAAATTACAAGACCCGCCATGATGGACAAAAATTATTACTTTCCTTTTTGGCGGGTGGGGGCAGCAATTAGAAGAAATACATATGTTACAAAAACTTAAAAGCAAGAATCTAGCGTTCTAGAAGTAGATTGATAACTTCTCTTGTATCATGCTCTGCAGTATATTGCACTTATCCAACAGTTCACTTAATTTGTCTGCGTCATCTGTGGCCTTGGCAGCCAAAGCGGATTCGCTACCATTCTTCAAATCATTGGCTTTATGATATCGTTTCGCAATTGATGTGTCGATTTGCTCAAAATTCCCTCTATCATCCTCCATGTTGTTGTCATTAATAGTCATTTTCGGAACTTCATGCCCATCTGAATGGCACGCCGCCGAACACGGCCGCGAAGCTCCGTGATCAAAACCGCGCATTTCTTCGGTTGAAGAATCACAGCCAATGGCAACCATTTCATCAAGAGAAGGACGGACCAAGTAAGGCACTGACGTACTAACTTCTGCTCTATCATGCAATCCAGAAGTTAACGGGGAAATGTCATCTTGGACCAAGATATATGCTGAAGAAATTGCATCATCGGACAAATCCATTAACCGCCAATGAAACACACGCTGGAAAATCATAGCCCAGTTTGGTATAATAAAATAAGCTGAATTATCCAGCTTGAGTTGAGCAAACTTTTGTAGCATAATGCCTGCCTCCTTTGATGCCAATGGCAATCCCATCATATGACTTGTTTCACTTAAATACTTGATTAAGCAATTTTCCAGCTGTGATCTCTGGTTCTCAATGTTGTTACCGTTACTAGAACTTGTACACCACCAAAAGATATGATCCTCAAAAGGCGGAAGCTTAGAATCACTTAATGCACGCATAAGCAGTTCTACTCTTGCAGCTGAGCTCCACCCTAAGCTTGGCAAATACTGTAAAATTGCTTTGTAATCAACACCAGACTCCTCCAGCAAAGAAATTTCAGGACAGGGCCAAGAGGCAGGATTTGCATGAACAGCAGCAGCTACTTTCCTCAAAGTTTGGTCCAGGGCATCATTGAAAGCAGAAATACAGTCATTTGGGCCCACTTCACAACCATCCACGCCATCAAGAACCTCTAATGAAGAAGTCAAGTGAGAGAGTACCAATTCACGTGTTTTCATGCAGCGAAGTACAGGTTGAGAGGGTGATTCACTTGCTAGCCACTGTAACCCTTCTCTCAACAGCTCATCACTAAAAAATCCATCAACCTGACCCATTTGTTGGCTTTTAAGATAAGCAACAGAAAAGTTACTGATGCGAGATTGGTCCATGTCATGAAGCCTCAACTCTTTGATTATTGAGGAAGTGTCTAAAGTATCCCTGCATGAACCACTTAAGATTAACAGAGGCAAGCTTGTACCAGAAGGTAAAGCCATCAGAACGTTATGAAGCCATTGTCTTTGCAACTCCCAGGGGATTAATTCTGACACAAGAAAGACAATTGCACTTGCACCAGCAAGTTCCTCATTCTGGTTCTCTAATTTGGCATTCTTAATTATTGTCAAACAACAGATCTCCTCGTTGCCAGATTCACTTGGGAACCACTTTTTCCATATTGACGTATTGGGAGATGAAAAAGGCAAATCGGCAGTATAATCGTCATCATATGTGGGAGGCAAAAGCTTAGAAACCAGCCAGGGGACTGCAGCCAAATCAGAGAACTCCTTTCCCCAATTTTCACCATAGGAACTGTGCTCAGCCAGTAAAAGAATTTTCCAACAAAGGCATTTACTATCTGGATTTTTTCCACTAAGTTCAGCTGCTACCACTTCTGAAACATTCAACCTTGACCACGACTTTTCTCGAATTTCAAGTCTCTTGCTCATAAGCCGGTCAATGTTAAAATCACCAGGAGATCTTGATTGCTGAACACAGAGTATATTTTGAAAATGTCATGCCCTCTAAGAAGCTGTAGTATCTTGTTACCTATGATTACCAAATATATCCAAATATAGCCAAAAACAACCCTAGGTGTGAGGCGTGCAGAGCTAATCACGGCTATAACTTTTCACCTATGTCAAATGCATTAAATCGATAAAAATAAAGTTAAAGGTAAGAAAGAAATACTCACTATTTCTGGGTGCCAAATAGGAGGCCCCAATGATAAGGACATCAGAGCAGCATTTGCTGCTAGCTGTTTCTGCACACGCAATTCTCTTTTTTTTAAAGAAAGGCGCTTCCAAATCCTGGTAAGGGAAACGTGCGGAGAAGACATTTGGTCAAAGAGAAGCACTCCATATTACAAAGAAATGTTAAACAAAATGATACAGACCTCAAAATCAGCTTAAGTTTTGCTTCAGAAACTTCATCATCATAATTTACTGTAGACACTTCCTCAGTCATTTCTTCTTTGTTAACACCAACCTGCTCTTCTCCAAATTGTTCTATTATTGGCTGCTTTGCTACTGAATTTTGTACAACAAAGTCACTTGGTGCTAGCATGAAGTTTGCTTTCTCCACTGTCTTAGGCATAAGGTGCAACGTTGATGCTCTTGATTCAACCTGTATGTCACTGCTGAGAGGATTTCTGAAGTGGGTGTCAAATTTTGACTTCTGTATACTTCCAATTCTATTTTGCTGTGATCTAGGGGAATGAAAGACAGAGGAATCCCACAAACAAGGGTTTGCAGGAGATAACTGATCCTCGTATGGTTTCCTTTTGACTGATGTTCTAGGGGTAGGTGCCACTTTGATGTCATCTTTAGGTGATGATGCATAATCAAGCATTTCCTCATCAATTGCCTGGTTAGTGTTGTCAATCTCAATAGACTGAGATTGGATGGGGATCGGTTTATGCTCGACAGCCTTATTCAACTCGAGTACTCTAGCTTCTTTAGGAGAAGATGATTTGGCTAGACAAGAATATGAGACATCCTCAACAATGGAGCTAGACTTTTTCTTATTAACAAGTTGTGAACGCTTGACAGGATAGTCACTGTCAGCATTCAGAAATGGACCATCCTTAACCATATATGGTACTTCAAACTCCTTTATAGAGAACCCATAGTATTCAAGAAGATCTTCTATGTCCTCTTCCTAAACAAATTGAATAAAAAGTCAGACATCCAAGATCTGGAACAGAAAGCAACCTCATTGATGGAAAAAATTTACCTCCATGCCAAGCCATGCAGAGACATGATCTATTGGAATTCCTTGGTTGTTCTGCAGACCACTATGTAAAGCAGCGAGTGCCTGGGTTCGTAACTGAGAAAAGGATTCGACAAACAATTAAAACAATACAAGAATGCGAATGCAACATATTCAACAATAATAAGCATAATTAATCCATCCATCCCAATTTTTATCTAGAAAAGGCTGAAAGCCAAATATCAGGGATAAAATGGACTGTGAAACAAAATTTTTGCTAATTGCTAATTCTTTCAATCTGACTGGTAAACTCAAGGAAAATATGATCTGCAAGAGAAGCTATATTCCACAGAAGCATATGCAGTAATGACACGTACCTTTGCAAAATGTGCATGCATTAAACATGCCTGAAGATAGCTAGCTTTCCGTGCAAGCTTAAAGAAGGCAATGAAGTTGCCTGTTCTGCAGGCTCTACAAGAACAGAACAATCCTTCTTAGACAACAACTACGACTTACAATATGTCCTGTCCAAATCCAAATACAGGGCGTACCTTGCTACATCACGAGCAAATATTACATCTTGAGTTTGCCGCATATCTGGTGTCATCTTCGCTAGATCAAGAGAAAGCTCTGCAGGTTCAACCTAACACAATGTCACAATGTTCTTATTTTCACATATGATGTTGAGAATGATAGTTGAAGACATGTTCCAATAGCAGATCAACTTACTTTGTATCCTGGATGTTTATCAAGCTTGAGAAGTGCATAATAACCTCTGAATTCTTTTTCAGTAGCTACATTTGTCCCTTTCTTCCTGTGATCGTCATACAATTGGAATAATTCAACCGACGTTTTGTTCATCTGTTCTATATTAAGATGTGCATCAAATCCTTCAGAAAATCCCTCCCCTTTATTATATTCACATAACTCATGCATGGCTATTACATGAAGTCTTATCTGGAAAGGAAACAATAGCACTAATTAGTCACACAAATACGTTCCAATAGCTTACAGAAAGAAGCACATCAATTAACATGGAATTAATAACCAAGATACAAGTTGAATTAAATAACATTCAATTAAATCGGCATCAGCAAAAAGCTTGGAGTATTGAGAATCGTTAAGAAGTAGTTTCAAGAACATTGTTCTGGAGGGAATGATTCCTATAGGGACCAGATCCAATGAATTACTGAAACCTCGAAAACACTACACCAAGACCCTCTTGGAAACTGAAAAAAGAAGAATCCATACGAGTGCTGTTGGGAACAAATTTGCGACTCTAGTTCCCAAATCAACGCAACAGAAAATTTAAAGATGGTTAAAGCCTTTCAAGGATTTTAATCATCCAAGCTTCCAAGACAGCCTCTAAGAACACAGATTTTAATAGGACACATTGTCCTCAGTCTAATCCACATATGGAAAACATTAAAATTAGATCACACTATAAGATGACCGACCATTTGCTCCAGCATCTTAATAGCTCCCAGGCTGAAAATATGCTGCATCCTCAGGTCCATACGTATGGCCCGCATCCTATCCCATAAGAAATTGTACAAGCCAAGAAACATATCATCATAAGGCTGATTCAGCAAATTTAAAAGATAATTCATCGTCCTTTGCAAGATTGGCATAGGTCGTATCATTCCAGCTTCCCTCTCAGCTGTCCTGTTGTACTGAAAGATGGTAGAGAACATTATGTATGTACAGATGCACTTCCTGAAACAAATGACGACAGACAAAAAGTTTGGTTGACCACTCAGGATTCAATAGATGTACCTTTTTAACAGCAAGCAATATGCTAGTTTGATTTCTATCCCCATCCAAGCGTTCATACTGATCAAGATCTCCTTTCCTTTCTCTTTCTGCTCTCTCTGACTCTAAAATACAAGAACAAAGAGCATATTCAACTTACAATTGACTTGATTAAAAATTCATAGTGGACAGTTGAAAGCTGAATCAATGAATATGTGCACAAGCATTATTTCTAAAAAGCTAGGAGAGTTCATCTCTGGGTAGAGAACCTTTCCGATGGAATCACATGTTAACAAAGAAATTGCATGTATCAATTGCTTCTTGCTGTAGATTTCCAATTGAAAGTTGCATTAAAGCTAAATGCCGCTTGATCACATCAATGCTCTTCCAAAAACTACATTTAAAAGGAGCAATGTTAAACTATTTTCCCATCCCTAATTTTGAAAAATCAGTCACAATTTACTTGAACCTTTTACTTTTTCATTTTTTCATGGACAAGGTTCAATGAATGTGGTTTGTCCAATGGCCTTCAGGTACAGTCACAATTTTAATTTCTAATAGAGTGCAAGATGGCAAGTCAAGGACATACCTGGGCACATATCAAGACACAATCCAGTTATAATTCCAGATGAATCCAGGCCATCGTAATCAGAAGGGAGATGACCATTATAGGAATCCTGTATCATATTAACTGCATCTTCCCCATTTAACTTCCGCTTCTCCATCATAACTGGATGCTGTCTTTTCACAGAAAAGCTTTGATTTTTGGAAACTAGATCATTTTCCGTTGGTTGTGTCAATTCATCCTTGAATCGCATCAACCGCTTTGCTTTGGCTTGCAACTCTCTGTGAATAACAAGCCTTAGTAAAGAAAAAATGTAAAAATTAGAAGGAATTAAAAACTTAAGTTGAATGGAATGTAATACCGATTTATCTCATCCTCCGGGGAATTGAAAGTTTCCCAAAAGATTTGATCTAATGTTGATGAGGAAGGCAATTTGGTTTTTTTGGCAGCTGGAAAGGTCATAGGCTTATTTGCAACTACTTCTGGTTTATTGAGGTGCCCTGATGTTGAAGATTCTTGACGACTTTGAGAACCAGAAGGCACATACTGAGCACTCAGCCTTGGTTTGGGAGGTGATGTAGAAGGCCTTGAAATGAGAATTGGTAGTTCATTAATGCATGTCCAGCATACATCTTAAACAACAGAAAGGAGAAACTTGTGACAAATCTAGCAAAAAGAAATATAAGGATCTCTGCAGCTTGAAACTGTACAAAGAACTTCACTATCTTCTGGAGTTGCAACAATTTCCAGACATCAGTCCCATTTAGTTTTGTCAACAAGGTCTGGTCTTGCCCATTAAAATTTTCATTCATGTCTCTCAATATTCTTCTCAGGATATCACTCAGATGCGAAATCCAAAAGCATTAATGTCAAGCACTACATGTATTACTGCATGTGATTTAGCATTACTTATGTAATCGAGATAAGCAGACTTATCTCCTGTTTACTGACAATGTTATTTCACTTTTCCCACTTCTCAACCACAAATTCGGGACTTATTAATCTCCATTATTCACCCATATCTGCAAATCTAGAGAGCAGATAACTGCAGAAAACCATTGCAAAAGAGCTCCTATATGATCTAATGGCTGAAGTACACAAGTCTCATCAAAACAATTAGAGAGCTATAGTTGTGCAGAAGACCCTTCACAAAAAGGTCAGACTAGCCTGCTGCTAGAAAATGATCCCACGATAGACTAAAAGATACAATAAAATAAGCTTTTCTTGTATACCTCCGGGAATTTTGAAGGTGTGAAGAATCCTCTAAGGGGCCACCATTACTGGTGGAAAAATTTGGCGACCTGCTTCGCTTGGAAACCTGAGAGTCCACATGCCTGTTTGGGGACTTTCTTCTAGAATCATAAGTAGCATTTGCAGAGACAGAAGATATAACTGGTTGAGTGAGCAGGCTGGTCAAATCCCCCGACGACTTTGACTGGTCGCCCCACATGTTGGAAGACAAAGCAGACCTGCTTAATGAAGAAAGCAGAATTGTTTATAGTAATCAGAGTAGAAGTTTACAAATTGTCTTGTTCCCTGAACTAAATGAAACTATTTTTTGGAAATTTATGGATCCCATTACTATTACTACATTCTAAATTTATTAATTTCTCATTTCCTCATTTCCTTTTTCCTTTTAGTATGAGAGATGGGTATCTCATTTTAGTATTGAATGGAAGAACAAAAGTGAAAGAAATAGAATTTAACTCCCTTCTAGGACCGATGACTCCCCAATAAAATCTTAATTCTTTGTATCAGTTTATTTCTACTTTTCTAATGTTCTTTTTATATTAGACTAAATAATATAGATTTCTATGCTATGTTGGTCCTGAACAATGCTGCATACATTTTGCTGAACAACTAGCAAGTTTTAGATGCCAAAGACCAAACTTACAGTTGAACTTCACTAAATGGAGGGCCAGCACCCTCAGCATAGGGGTTTCCCAGTAAAGGCAGAGGAGGTGATTGCATTTGCTGTGGAAACAAGTCGCTCTGACTTTTAGGAAGAAAACCTGCATGACTACCAAAAGGAGAAAAACAAGTTAGAAAATTCTATGTGAAGGCATCATGAAGTATCCCCAAGCAGATGCTCCAGTAGAAACAAAACAGAGACCATGTAAGATCTGACAAAATCAAGCATATTTGATATGAAACTCAGAGGTTTTGACTTAAAAATGTACAGAAAATGGAGGTATTATAACTTCAAAAAGTTTTAATTCCTTCGGTACTTGTGATTAAGCAACACGGATTTGGAATTACATTAATAACTTACTTTCGTTGCAAACTTAGCAACTTAACTGTTCATGAAGTTCCATCAATATGTCAATCCACACCAATACAAAATTTTCCTATACAGAACTAACTACCCATCGCATTAGGGAAACAATATGTCTGTTGGTATAGTGGTGTTGAGTTCAAAAGATAATTGCAACTTTTAACAGCATATGGAACAAGAAACACAGTAAATCAGAAAAAAAAGAAAGGATTACCTTCCTCTAACATCTATGGATCTTCTCAAAATCTCTTCATCAAAAGCCACCAAAGTAGGTGATACGGTTGTCCTGGTATCTTGAAATTGAGAACCTTTAGCAGGAACACTAGGTGTAAAAGTACTTGAAGGAACAAAGGGCACTACTGTTGCAATGCTTTCATCAACCGGAGCATCATAGTCTTTGTAAGAAAACTTTTGGCCATTGCTCCACGTATGAGCAGATTGACTGGGTCTAGAGAAAATATTCATCCATCAGTATGACAAGAAGAAATATTTTCAATGATTTTTCTTCTTTATTTGGTCATCCTAGCAAATAAAAGCATGGCATATAACATAATGCCATTGAAAAGCATTAAAGGCAAGCACTAGCTCAAGAACAAAGAATGAAAAAGATAGAACGAACAAAAAGTTTCATTTGGTACTATTAAAATTGGATAACCACCCTATTATTCAACCCAGGGATTTCATACAAGGATCTGAATATGCGACACCATAATTATATCACTGAAAGGTATACCAATAGACTCTTTTTCTATCACTTATGACTTAATTCCAAAATCATTTGAAGGTACCCACATTATCAACAGCCATCCCAAATTAAATAACATGGAAAGCATGTCCAAAAAAAGTATAAATACCTTGAAAATTCTGCAGATGGTCGAGATGGACTCGTCACCAAGCGTCGGCTTTCAAAAGCCGAAGGGCGTGAATTAATTTTCTTGAAAGTTTCAGGTTCTCTATTTCAACCCAAAAAAAAAAACTTTTATTAGCAGCAGCAGATATGCACTCCATACTTGAGAACGAATACTTGCAATAAAAGCAAGATCAACTATTAATCAATGTGAGCAACTTAGGCATGATTGACACTAATTTGTTAGAGACCAGAAGTATTAACCTAAACTGACAGTACATGCTTTGAAAGGTGAGAGCACTAACATGCAATTGCTACTAAAACTCCTTGAAAAAGTATTCCTAAAAATGACAAACAAAATGATGTCTGTCATCCTGCAAATAATCCGTATAGTGGAATACCTGATGGCCAAGACCACAGTGGTAAAGTTTACTAAAAATTCTATCAGGAAGACATAATTTTTGCTCTCATATTTTAGACATCAATCAATCACTTCTCATATTGGCTGGCAACGAAGGACCTTAACAAGGGATGCAAGTCTTATGCCATTCTGTACTAAAAATTCTATCAGGAAGACATAATTTTTGCTCTCATATTTTAGACATCAATCAATCACTTCTCATATTGGCTGGCAACGAAGGACCTTAACAAGGGATGCAAGTCTTATGCCATTCTGGAAAATAATGAAGTGCTTGCATACCTCCACATAAACCACCAAGAGTCCGGACAAAGGAGCACATATCCAAAATGAAAAATAAACATGAACGAAGAACACAATAAAACCAAATTAATTAAGTCACAGCACACAGTCTCTCTCTCTCTCTCTCTCTCTCACACACGCACGCACGCACGCACGCCCACACTCTCTCACGTACAATTCTCAGAGTCCTACAATAGTTTCTACAGCTCCAACAAGAATCACCACCAAAATAAAAAATAAAAAATCAAATCTTGGGGTAATTAAACTACCTTGGACTTTAAATTATCAAATATCAACCATAAATTAAGATACCTAAACAACACCAAAACAAAACTAACTGAATCATAGAACAATAGTTCATAACTTCACAAACACAAGCACATGTATTACAGAAAGATTAAGGGAAGTTACCCGGGGGATCTAGTAAAGGGTTGAGCTGGGGAAGGAGGCCTAGGGAAATTTCCAAATGGGGTTTGGTTTCTTGGTGCAGCAGGACCTGAGTCCTTTCCAAATCCCCCACCAAAAGACATATTGTCGTTCTCTCAAGTTTCAGGAGCTTATGGCAACATGAATATATACATATCTCACATGGGTTTTTGCATATACACTTGATTTTGTAACCAATAAGATTAATTTTTTTTTTCCCCGAATTGCTTGTTTCTGGAGGGGAATTTGCGAGTTTACACTGTTCTGGGCTAGCTTCAGGTGAGGGATTGGAGGGGTTTTAAACTGCAGAGAGAGCCAAGCTGATGGGAAGCTTTTTTATTTAATTTGGGGGGACAAAGAAATTTTCCTTTATGGAGGATGCGCCACATCAAACGCTGTCGTTTCGGATGATGGATGTACACACACAAACACGCACGCACACACATATATGTATACATATATATATATATATATATATATATAGTGAGCTTTTCCATTGTAAGGCATCGGTCGTTGGCTACAAAACCCCATCTTAGATCTCACATGGAAGAGAATTGGTGGTACTCTTCATTTTGTTAGGCTCAAGGTTTCATTTAATGCTGATTTCAACACCTTAGATTGTGAATTGATTCGAATTTCACCTATTCAAACTTTTCAATACATTTGTAGCACTTGGATTAGTTGGCTTAATAAAATCGTTATCAAATCACGAACACTCTTATGAAAATGCAACATCAATTTTGCATCATATAGGGTCTGTGTTTGTTTGGGTGGAAAATGTTTTTTGGAAAACATTTTTCATATTTTTCATTGTCTGATTGTCAATTAATTTGGAAAAATAATTTCTGACAGAAAATAAGTTACACCCACGGAGGAAAATAACTTCCTTATCTATCATTGTTGTGAAGTTATTTTCCTTTCGTAAAGCAGTCTTCTTTTCACAGCCTCTAGCAAGGAACCATCGATAAAAACCAATCTTTTCTTCGGCAGTGATAACAAACCATCTCCAGCGACATCTCATCAGCAAACAAATCTCTTCTTCGCCGGTGGCATCTCCAACTCCGACAAAGACCATTTATCCTCTCTTGTGGACAATCGAACTGTCAAAAAGACTATTTATTTTAGGGAAAATCGTCCAAAACATCCCTCACATTTTGTAAAATGACTTTTTTCGTCCCTCACTTTAAAAGTGTAATTTTATGTCCCTTACATATTCACATCGGTCAAATTTAGTCCCTAACTAGATTTTCGATTATTTTTTGGCCGGAATCCATCACGTGCAAGGCACGTGATCATTTTTGAAAGGTAAATTTTTCAAATTATATTTTATATAATCTAATTTATAGTCCTCTACATTTTATAAAACAAAATTTTTCGTCCCTTACATTTCACAAAATGAATTTCTCCATCCCTCACATTTCAAAAAATGAATATTTCCATCTCTCACTAATTATGTGTGAAAGGGAAACCCTAAAAAATATATATATATAGTTGTGTGTGAATACATTTTGTTTAAACACATGTATATGTCTATTTGATTTTGGTTAATAATACGAATAGCATAAATATATGTATGTGTCTATTTGATTTCACTTAACAACACGAATACAATATATTATACGTGATCATTTGATTTCATCTAGTATTAGTTAGTAAAAAATCTTACATTCATTGTCAAGTTGACCAATAAAGCTATTTTCGGTCAAAATACAATAAGAATATGCAAATTAAGATTCTATTGGTAAATATTAGTCATAATCATACAAAAATAGAAGATAGTCCACAAGTTGGGCCCAATTACATACATGTATTTATGCTATTATTATTAAGCAATAGACATATACATGTGTTTAAAAAAAAATGTATTCACACACATAATTAGTGAGAAATGAAAAATTCATTTTTTGAAATGTGAGGGATGGAGAAATTCATTTTGTGAAATGTGAGGGATGAAAAAATCATTTTATAAAATGTGAGGGACGAAAAAATTTATTTTATAAAATGTGGAGGACTATAGATCAGATTATGTAAAATATAATTTGACAAATTTACCCTTCAAAATGATCACGTGCCTTGCACATGATGGATTCCGACTAAAAAATGATCGGAAACCTAGTTAGGGACTAAATTTGACCGATGTGAATATGTAAAGGACATAAAATTACACTTTTAAAAGTGAGGAACGAAAAAAGTCATTTTACAAAATGTGAGGGACGTTTTGGACGATTTTTCCTTTATTTTATCTCAGTTTCTACCGCTTACCCAATTCGTAGCCTACATACCCGCTCCAAGAGCCCATCAAAATCTGGGTTATCTCTTCCAAAACAGCAAAACCCTGGACCAACTAAGCAAATTCACTCCCTAGCTATCCAGAAAGGCTTAGCTTTAGACGTTTCAGCGTATTCAAAAATCATTTCTTTTAGTTGCGCCAAAGATGCTGGTGACATGGATTATGCTCGCCGCGTATTTGAAACAATTCTCGAACCAAATGTCTTCCTCTGGAATACAATGATAAAGGGTTATTCCCAAACCTGTTATCCTGAATATGCAATTGTTTTGTACAAGAAGATGTTAGAGAAGAACGTGAAACTAGATAACTACACATTCCCCTTCTTGCTCAAGGGGTTTAATCGAGATTTTCCGTTGGAATGTGGGAAAGGAACACATGCCCACATATGTAAATTTGGTTTTGATTCTATTGAATTTGTTCAGCAATCTTTGATCCATGTCTATTGTTTGTCTGGCCAGATTGATATGGCTCGGCAGGTTTTTGACACAAGTAAGAAAATTGGGATTTTAGTCACTCTAGGCTTGATTAGAGTGCTTGTATGTACCGATGGTTCTAATTCTGTACCATGAATAAGGTTTTTGATTCTGAAGCTGAATTCTTGGTTTATATTTCAATATAGGATTCTTTGCATTTAGGTTTTTCTCCCTTTTCAAAGGAACAACATAATGACATGATACTATACCAATAAAGAATAGTGTTCAGCTAGATTTTCGTTTGATTTTTAACTCTTCTTTCCCCTCCAATTCATTAGTATCATTAATAATTCCATTTAAGAATTAATGGTGTAATATGAATAAATATTTTATAGAAATGATAATATGATTATAATGGATAGAAATTAAAATTAACTTGTAATGAAATGAATGTTTTGAGAGTAGAAAAATATTTGCAACATATCAACAAACATATCAGAAAATATTTTTATTGGCAAACCAAACACCGGAAAATTATGAAAAAAGAAATTTGGAAAATATTTTCACTTAATAACCAAACACTGAAAAAATTATGGGGAAGGAAGTGATTTTTCAGGAAAATAACTTCCATGTCCAACCAAACGGACCCATAATGGAAAATTCAAAAAAAAAATGCTTAATATGGACTATGGCCAACAGTCGCCTGCTTGTTGTGGTTTAATTATTTCAACTGATTTTGGACAAGTATTTTTATTGGTAATTTTATTTACTTTTGCACTTAATTTTAGATTTTTTCAATAGACAAAAAAGTTTAAAATTAACAATTTATCAGCAATAGCTTTAACTAATTCGATTACTCTCAATATTTTTTTCCCCATAATCAGTTTCTACAAAATCTACAATCTAAAGACAACAAGCCAAATAAAAGTTTAAGCCCTTCGAACTTCGAACGAGCTGTACATTGTGCATAAGTGATTGTACTTGTATGACTACAATCATCATTCCAAAATGGTTCGTAAAATCCCAGATACTTGGGGACCTGTGTATAAATGCTGATATTTCCCATAGAACCCCCCTTGAGTCCACTAATCTGTCCACATGCATTTCAGCCACAAATATGTTAACTGCCCAATTGTTCCTAATCTCCCCTCATTGTCCGAAAGTGAACCTGTCTAGATTCATCGGAAAGCGAAGCCGTGAGGAGCCATGGCAGCAGCAGCAATGCTCACTTCAGTTCACAAATCAGAGGAGGAATGGCAGGCCATTCTCACCCCTGAACAGTTCCACATCCTTCGCCAAAAGGGCACCGAGTAATTTCCGCACATTCTTTATGTCTCTTGTTCATTTCAGTATTCTGGGCATGGATAAAAGACTGGTCACTTTACTGAAACAAGAAGTATTTGCTTTGCTTTTTCTTGTGTCTTTTAAATAATGTTATTGACTTAAATGGGATGACTTTCACTTACCTTGTGCTTTGTTTGATTAATCCTGTTAATAATCTTGATCTTTTTGGCATGTGATAATTGGATTTTTCACTGTTACTATGGACCAGGTTTCTAATTAATGTTGCTTAATTTGTTTACAATTTTGATATCACGGTTTTGCTCAGCAAATGATGATATTCCTTCCACATCTTTCTTCTGTTTTTATCGTGCAAGAGTGCCCCCATTCCCTCCCCCTTTTCCACCGGGGAAAAAAAATATGAACTTTGTGGTATAGCCTGTAGCTAATGGAGGACTTTAACAGGATCATAGCTCTTCTGATTATAGGGGCTGGGAACCTTGTGTTCAATTATTTTTATTATTAAACTGTTTTATTTGAGTGGCTGAGGAGGTTGGCCAAATGGTAGCAGGTCTATGTGCAGGATTGATGACATTTTTACCAGCCTAATAAATCTCTCTGTAATTTAGTACCTACTTGTATCGAAACCCTCAGCATGTTATGATTCAGGTTTCCACTTCTTCTATATTAAACCAGGGAATAAGAAAGATTAAGCCAAAAGCGTAATTGAATAGAATGTAAAGATGAATAGAATGCACAATACAGGAGCCATATATGGGTTAGACTGAAGCAAGAAAATTACTCCTTAAAATGCATTGGTTGTACTAGAATATCTACAAATCAATACTGATAAATTAGCTAATGCAGCGGCACTGGATGAATGTAAGATGTGGAGACATTTTTGAAATGTTCTTCTTTCTATGCTGATGGCCTGTGCTTGCAGCCTAGTTTTATAATGGTCTACGAGCCAATACTTTCAAAGTGTCCCTTGCTTAGAGAAAGAGGAGGTAGACCTTATGAATACTCCAACATACCAGATGCATATCCAGCTTGCCATGGACACTTGGACAATGTTACGTCCCTCAGTTCTTGACATTTGCTTGGGTTATGCTTTGCTGACACAATGCAATGATATACAGATTGCGTGGAACTGGGGAATACGATAAGCTTTTTGGTGAAGGGGTGTATAACTGTGGTGGATGTGGAACGCCACTTTATAAATCTACAACAAAGTTCGACTCCGGCTGTGGTTGGCCTGCTTTCTATGAAGGTTTCCCAGGGGCTATTACCCGCTCTGTGAGTGATGCTAACTATTGTCTGTCATTAACCCTTCCAGCTCCATGCACATGTTGCT